TATACTATACCCTCCATAATAAGGTCTGATGACCTTTTTTAGCTCGTAAAGGAATTTTTGCCCCCCCCCCCCCAAAAAGAAAATGTTTGGTTGTCCCCCCCCTCTCCAAGTCAAATTGCTTCCGACGGGTCTGGTGTGTGTACATATATGCGTGTTTGCTTAGCACTGGTTATTGCAAGCACCTGCAGTTGGATAACCAGTTTATAACCAATATTACTACATCAGCCCCTTCCTCAACTTAAAGTTCTTTTTATCTCTTAACTTCTTATACAATTTATTATAATCAAATTTTCAGCAAACCATCAAGACCCACCTAAAACATATTCTGATTTCCAAATTGTATTTTATTGCAAATAAATAAGTTATTAAAATAAAAGAACAAGAAATTTTTATCATAATACCCCAATCCAAAATTACACAGTAATGCAAAAAAAGGAATTAATCTTAAATACTGATTATTTGAAAAGCTATATATCTATCTCTCTCTCTCTCTCTCCCCCCCCCCTCTCTCTCTATATATATATATATTTGTTCAATGTATAATGCCTTCATATTTCTGTTACATAAATACACAATCTCCAGCTGGATCACAAAATTTTTAGTCAAAATAATCATTATCTAGTATTTTTGAGATTTTTTTTTATTTGTAACTGAAAAATGTAAACAAAAACCTTACAAAATTGCTGCTATAGAACTTAATGAAATGCAACTTGGATTGTTTTTATATAGAGAAAAATAGAATTCACATAATTGCATTTGACTAGGAGTACAAGATAATGCTGGAAAATCAGATTCTCTGTGTTCAACATGTACATACTTTTGTTCCATTTGATTCAATAAGAGCTTTAGTATTTGACTATTAGAAAAAAAAAACCATTAAATACAATTTAATTGTTGATTTCTGGGAACAAACTAACCATATCAGCAATTAGTTAAAATAATATATCAACATCAACAAAAATATACTGGTAATAGTTTGAACATACAGAAAGCAAAAGACAGAAAGCAATTTTATGTTCAACTATTGGATGCATTTAGAGCCCAGCTGCTCAGTAAAATATATATACTGAGAGTATATAAAAAGCATGTTAAATAATGATAGGCTCTGATTCAGGCCCTAAACTAGAAGCCAAATGAATCCTGAAAACAAACACAACAGGTCCATGGGCTACGTTGCTCACACGAGACACCTTTTTCTGAGCATGGAATTCCCACAAAAATGAAACTCATTATTCTGGGCCAAAACTATGCCTAAAAGGTCATACATTCAATAGATTTAGTTGAAAAAGATATGCAGATGCTTGCATATTAACAATTAACAACTTATAGTCTTATTTCTCAAGGAAATCCACTTCTGTTTGAATCATTGGACCTTACAGACTGGCTAATTAAAGAGATGGGGAGGCTACATGTATGACTTTTACAAATTTGAAATGACCAATTGCATATTAAATTGACATTGCATACTAGTTGTTTTTCAGAGGACAATTTTGTAAAACAGAAGTCTCTGACAAGACTGTAGCTCTACTGGTTTGTACTTAATAACAAAGTATGAGAAAGGCAGCCACTTTGACTTGAAACTACGGCAACAACAATAAATAGAATAATGACTTGGTTTAGTCTCTGTTTGAGGCAAGTTTAAAATCAAACTAAAAGTGTAGTAGGAATAACCTTTAGAAAGGATTTCACAGAAATTCCTATTTTTAGTAACCATGGCAACTCTAAGTCAAAAAAACAATACACAGAATTAAGTATCTTAGTGTAGTTTGCTTGAGTAAAAAGATTTTTTGAAACCAGAAAACAAAACTGTAGGAGGAGAATAGCATTTTGAAAGAAATTAAAAGAAAAATCCATTTTTTGTAACCAAGACACCACCATTCACAAAAAGATTTCTAAATTTCTATTTTTAGTAACCATAGCAACACCATTCATTAAAATAAAAAATAAATTCCTATTATGGCTCCACCCTACATACACGTATTACCATGGTGTTGGTACCATTACCTCAACAAATTGAAAAGCACACTGCATAAGGATGTTCGAAGATTAATTAATATATAAATATTATATTGCTAAGCTTTTTGTTTCACTAAAGACTTCATAAGATTTTGATCTACATAAACCTACATGCATGATGATATATTTAATTTTTACAATATCACATTAATTTGACAAAATGCATCTCTGCTGTTCTTTACATGAAATTCTTTAAAGATTTTTTTTACTGAAAATTCAAATGTAAAAATTAGAAGCATCATCCTATTCCCTGTGTTCAAGATTTGAACAAATGTATATCTACACATCAAATAAGGAAGCTCCCACCAAAGTCCCAAAATATCCTGGTTCAGAAATTCTGAAGAAGACTTTTAAATGATCATATCCTATTTTTACTATCTGTATTTCTTAACCTCCTTCCATCCCCCAGTGAAGGAACTGGCCCTTCATTTGAACACCTAAGGATGACTTTTGGCAAGTTTGGTTGGAATTGGTCCAAGTTTAAAAAAAAATCGAAATTGTAAAAGGTTTACAGGAAGATGACATAACAGCTAAAAAATGGAATGAAACCTGATAATCTCTTGAGGATGTGCTTCAGGTAAGCTAAATAGATAGTTTTATAAATAAAAAAAAAAAGCATAGTGACCCCCCCCCAAAAAAAAAAAAAGAAAAGAAAAGAAAAAGAAAAATGCAAATGGTAAAAAAAGACGAAGTATGCATTTTATAAACAATATTTGTATCATAATTAGTAAATAATATATAATATTAAACAGAAAACAGATGTAACAAAAATATATCTTTAAAAAAAAAACACAATCGAAAAATGTTTTGCAGTAAAAAGATTTGTTTTGATCTATGGCACTAACTTCTGTCACTCTATGCATGTATAATACATGTACCAGAAATGTTGCAAAAAATATATATTCATGTATCATTATGGTTGAAAGAAAACTACTTGTACATATCATATATATATTTACTATATATACTAAGAAGCTGAACATCTAGAATAAGTAGATGTCAATGATTATAGCTATATAATAAAATGAATCTCAAATTTGAAATCTTGCACCTTTTGAAGGCTGTTTGGAAATTATTGAGACATTGTGTTTATTCTTCTTTCTAATCAACGCCTTTTGATAAAATTGGCATATGTGTTTGACACACACTAAGAATTAATAAAAAGCAATAAATATATTACAAATGTTTTATTTCTTCTTTTCAATGGTATATTAATGTGTCAATGGTAGGGGTACCCGACGCAGTCACAAAGAACACACATTGAAAAAATGTAACAACCACACTCAAACTACTGATGCACCCATAGTAAAACCAAATAATAATTCAAATTATGTTATATAATTTTTCAGTTTTATTTTGACTTCATTTTGTGCAAGTTTGTTAGAATTTCGAGCAGAAATATGGAAATCATAAAAAAAAACTACCTGCTTAAACAATAACAATTGTTTTTTCATTGGTATAGTTTTTTCTTACAAATAATTCAGAGTAAAAACAAAGGCCCTGGATGACCATCAGTTATAAGTTATAAATAATGTTGACCCGCAATGCAAAATTCAAGTCAACCTGTATATTACACTTCCATTTAATTTTACATTGAGGTAGAAACAACACAAATTTCATTTCATTTTGTTTTTTTAAAGAATCCTTTCAGAATAGAGAGAGATTGATTTCTAGAACATTACAAGTGATGACAGAGAAAGAGGAATTAATGCTTCCCAATCGTTTTAACAAGAAAAATCTATGGCTGGGTGAAGTTATCATGCCATATAGATGCTGCTCAAGATCAAGACATATGCAAGTTTATAATTTCACAAGGAATTATCTAATTAGCCTATTAATTAGAAATTTTGCACATTAGTTTTTTTAAAAATATTTACAAATTTTCATTTCTTTCTTTCCTTTATGGAGTAACCATAAATGTCTCAATAATTTCCAAACAGCCCTCTTACATACCCCAAACTTCTGCTTGGATCCACTAAGTTCCACATTTATCGATTTAAAACAATTCATGTACAATACATTCTTAATTGCTTATTTTTACTGTTAGCTGGCTCATAGCCTACCAAGAAAAAAAAAATATATAAAAGAATATGAATTCTTTTGAGCAATTTCAAAAATAACTAAAGATGAAAAAATAATATGTACTACTCTATATCAAATATATTATAAATATAGGATCCCCCTTGGTTTGTGGTTGGATTTTTTATCCAACAAGTTGTGTGTTTTTATCCCTGAGCCTTTGTAAGGGGATAAAAACACACAACTCCTCATATAAAAATCATATCCAACCACAAATCATGGGAGTTTCTTTTTGTCACATGTTTTACACATAGCTATTTCATGTTTTATACTGTTTTATAGATGTAAATCCATAATACTTTGACTTGATAAAATCCATGCAACAGCCACTGTGATGTCACAACCGTGGATATGAAAACGAGATCCTATGAGCTATATCCACTATATAAAGGACTAAACATGTGATAAAGCATTTTATTCTATACTGGTATTATTTTACTTTCTCCTACTAATTTCCATGAAAATCTTTTATGTTCATTGTTAAATTACAGACCATATACTAATTAGAAAGTCTGCATTTCATATATTATTACAAATATATACTAACTATATATATTTTTCATGAATAACAACTTCATATACAGAAACATAAAAATTATTAAAGTTGAAAAAAAATACAATATATTACATGAATATCTTAAAAAAAATTACTTCCTGTTGGAAAAAAAGAAGACAAAAATAATTCTCTACATGACTAAAGAAATATTAAGCATTAACTTGACAAATTTGTGTTTTGATTTAAAAAACAAAAAGTGCTTACTTTATTCATTACAACCCTACAAAAGATTGTTAAAGTATACCTTTTTTGAACAAATAACTTAAAATATGGGATTGCTTTTATACATAGTATATATATATATATGCAAGCTACCACACCCAAAATTATTAAACAAGTATTGCTATGAATCAGCATACACTCATCATAGATCATCATGGATGATTGTCTTCTTTGAAGGACTAGCGGTGGATCCATCAGAGGTGGGTTTAGTGTCCTCTGGAGCTGGATATCCAGACCCTCCAGCCTCTGAGGTATGAGGTACATGTAGAGCCTCAGATGTGTATTTGGAGGTATCTGAGTGGTCGTCAGACTTCCTGTGTGGGGGTTTGTGTTTCCCTTCTGCATGATGATAAAGCCGTGATTTCTGAAGTTCAATCAGCTCTCTCCTTATCTAAAATAACATTACCAGAAGCTTTGTAACTATGAGGAATTAGGGAATAACAATTTTTTCTCATTTGGTATTTGCAATCCTTAAAAATGCCTATTTAACGGTCACAAAATGAATTTTACCAGCAACATGTAAGAGGAGCCGGTAAAATGGATGTTTATGACCATTAAATCAGCATTAACGGTCGCAAATTCCAAATGAGAAGAATGCCATTTTCATTCTGATGCAATTCTTCAGTATCTTATCAAACAGTTAAATGTTTTCCAATTGGTTAATTCCGTAATTTGACATTAATGCGCATGAAGTTGAAGATATTCCGCTGAAAAAAATCCTTGTCTAGAGAAAGTTGCATTAAGCCTTTTTCTTATCCCTATCACTGAACTTTGGCCTTTCTGTTCTTCATCAGCAGATTATTTTCCCTATACACATGTATTCTTAGATCATATATTGTGGCCCATCCCACCGTAGGGGAATATGATTTGACTAATTTTCAATCTACAATGCCTGAAGATGCTTCTACATTTATATGGCTAATCATTGCTTTGCTGTTCATGAATAGAAAATTTTAAAAGATTGATTTCCTATATATTCACAAGTAAAACTTTGACCACCAATTCTGGTCCCACCCTACCCCCTGGGGACATGATTTGAACAAGTGTAAATCTACACTACCTGAGGATGCTTCCATATCAATATGACTCATCATGGGTTTGCTGTTCTTGAGAAAAAGATATTTAAAGATATTTCCTATGTATTCCTATGCAAAACTTTGATTGCCCATTGTGGCCCCAGCCTACCCTTGGGGGGTCATGATTTGAACAAACTTCAATCTACACTATCTGAGGATTCTTTTACATAAATATAACTAATCATGGCTTTGCTGTTCCTGGGAAAAAGATTTTTAAAGATTTTTCCTATGTACAGTTAAAAATGTCTTAGCGGCCACTCGAAATCAACGGCCACTCGTGGTCAGCGGCCACTTTCAGGTCCCCCCGACCATTTTTCCTATATATTTTAACTGGAATAAACGGAGACTAATGTCTCTGTTTTATTCTCTGATTATTAAATATTTTAACTGTAATGTTAAATGTTGTTCATTTATTGACTGACTGGCTATTTCAAGGGGAAACTGGAATAAGAGACCACCTGTCTTAAGTGGCCAGTTTCCAAATTTCCCAAAGGTGGCCTCTTAAAACAGGTTTGACTGTATTCCTATGTAAAATTTTGACTACCACTGTGGCCCCTTCCTATCCCCAGGGGTCATGATTTGAACAAACTTGAATCTAAACATTGAATCTGAGGAGTTTTCCATATAGGTAAATATGAATGATCATTGCTTTGCCATCCTTTAAAAAATATTTTTAAAGATTTTTCCAATCTATTCCCATGTAAAACTTTTATCACCCATAGTGGCCAATCCTTGAATCTACTTTATGTCAGGAAGCTTTCATGCAAGTTTCATCTTTTCTGGCCCAGTAGTTCTTGAGAAGAAAATTTTTAAATGACCCCACCCAATTTTCAATATTTCTTTATTATCTCCCCTTGGAAGAAGATATAGCCCTTATTTAATCAAACATGAATCCCATTTACTCAAGAGTACTCTGAGTCAAGTTTAGTTGAAATAGGCCCGGTGGTTTTTGAGAAGAAGATGAAAATGTGAACAGTTTATGACAAAGATAACAACAACAACAACAACAGACAAATTTTGATCAGAAAAGCTCACTTGAGCCAGGTGAGCTAATAATAGAAGGTCTCTGTGCAAACCTCTGAGTCATCCACTGTTTCCTCCCTCTTATTGTCTTCATTTTTTCTTGGATCTACTTCATTTCCCTCACTGTCAAATCCTATCAATAAAATGCCACACATAAGACAAGCTCAGAAACTGACATAATGCTATTAAAGATGATAATAAAACAAGTAAAGGTAACATTTTTTTAATACTTATTGATCCATGGGGAATGAAAATTCAAATTCTGATGTAAAAACAGACACCTGGATGGCTTTGTCTGACCTTTTCCATGTGTGCTGGCAATCAGCAAATCTGGATCTCTTATTTGGTCTTAACCATTCGATGTGCACTGGAAGCTAGCATGTCTGGATCTATTTTGGTCTTACCTATTCCGTGTTTGTTGATGGCCAGCCTGTCTGGATCCCCTTTTTAGTCTTACTTACTCCATGTATGTTTGCAGCCAGCCTGTCTGTGTCCCTTTTTTGTCTAACCTACTCTCTGTTTGTAAGCAGCCAGCCTATCTAGATTCCTTTTGTTGGTCTTACTATTCCATGTAACTTGGTAACCTGCTGTCTGGATTCCTTTTTAGTTACCTATTCCATGTTTGTTTGCAGCCAGCATGTCTGGATTCCTTGTTGTCTTACCTATTCTGTGTTTACAGGCAAGCCTGTCTGGATTCCTTTTCTTGATCTTACCTATTCCATGTACATTTGCAGTCAGTACATCTGGATCCTCTTTTCTGGCTCGACTTCTTTTCTTCTCTTCTTCACTTTCCTTTATGAATTCAAGGAAATGATAGCCTTGTAGCCTTGGTTTAAACATGCCATCCTTCAGCAAAACTAAAATATTAGGGTTAAAAATTTTAAAAATAAATGTTAAAGTAATTTTTTTTCATTAAAAGACAATACTGATTTCCTAAGATCAAATTTATAAAAATGATAACTGAAATTATGATTGCTTCAAACAAATCAAAGATTGAAATTAGTGATGGGACATCGGTTAATTTTCATAATCGATCATCGGTTGGAATCGGTTACTGCTTTTGATGCGATTTTACTGATTATAATCGGTTGTCATAGTTTTGTATATAAAAAAAACAGACTATTACAAGTATTTCATATAATTTTTTTAACATGAATATATAAAATAGATAATATATTATTTTCTTTGTTGTTTTGCTTTTTTTACACTTTTTATATATGCACCTCTCGGTTCTTAATCACCTCTGCTTCATGCTAGTTGGCTAGTATCAGATGCAGATGCCATTTTCTTTCATTAAGAAGAAATAAATTTTAAACCAGAAATGTATAATTCTGGAATGTATTGTATTAGAGGTATGTTTCCGATGATTGATTATGAAAAATTATAATCGATCATCAGAATCGGTAGCATTTCTTGTCGACAATCGATGTTTTCTGATTATCAGTACAACACTAATTGAAATCCTTGTTATATATTCCATTTAAAAATCAGTCAATGGGTACATACTTTATAATATTGAAGAATTTTAATTTCATTAAAAAACAATAAGTGGGTAATGTTTATATTATCCTTTAATCAATTTGAGGCCCTATATGCCATCAGACACAAGGAGGATGGGTAAAGGTGAAGAGTTCATTTAAATGATATTGTAAAACATTATATTTTACAGCAGTAAAATTTCACTTAGCCATTGGGTAATTGAATATGGAAGTGTTGTAAGAGCCTTAGGTGACATACACAGTGTTTTATCGTCAATGCTCTGGGTCTGGATGTCTTTCAGCCAGGCCTCTATCTGCTCCTTTGTAAAGGATTTGTCTAAGTAATTGTACACTTTCCCCTAATAAGAAATAATACATCTGTATTAATATCATTGGTCTTGTGCAAATAAAACTTTAACAGTAAACATCAGGTGAAATTATCCTAATTGAAATCCAGATATTAAAGAAAGATTTAAATACATCTTTTAATGTAACTGACCTCTTTAAGATGTGCATAAGACAAAGCTGGTACAGAGGAAGAGGTGGAATTTTGATAGGTCTGTAAAATCTGCCTCCCAAAGCTATTGATATCACCAGATCTGCCAAAAATATGTATAGTCATTGAGTTATGCATTAAGCTGATGCTTCAAAATTAAAGATTTATGTACATGTAATCATATCCATGTAAAACCATTGCTTACATCAGATGTTGAAAAGTTAATTTTTAGAAATATAAATATCTACATATCCTATATTACTTACATATCATGTACATTTTCTTTCAAAATTATACAGAAAAGATCAACTTCCTTAGGATTTTGAAAAACTAAAAGTTTTATTATTATTTATGCTAATGAATTTGAAAAATGTTCACTCACTGCAATAAACAAAAAATGACATCTGGGTAAGTGCCAGCTTTAACAAGGCTCTGAATGGGTTCTAACAGCTGTTTGGATGATTCCGTGTCATCTACAAAGCTGATCACAAATGGCTTGTTCTGCTTGTATAGTCTGGGAAAGATGGAGGGTGTCAATTCAGCCTAAAGAAAGATATAATACATGTTAAGGACTCATAGAGACTGCTTTCAAATTAGAATCATGAATGTTTGTTTAAACACCGCTAGGCTCTGTATAGTTTACATATTTTCATAAAAGGAAGTTTCAGTAAATACATGAATGTGTGAATGAGAATTAACACAGTGAAAAAAATGTGGCTTCTTGAAAGCCACAAAGAGAAAATAGTATGCAGCATGCCCTATCTTCTTTGAAATTCATTTACCAGTGAAGGAGTAAGGGATTTTTCCATGAATTTGAACAGCTCCTCAGTAGAGGCTAGATCTCCTCTGTAGGTGACATAGGGCTGGACAAGGTCATTCCTCCTGAGGATAACCACACAAGGGAGGTCACTACAGCCATATTTCTTTGCACTGTGATGATAAAATAGATTTACAGTCATATATCAAAAATACTGCATTTTTATATAAACTTAAAAGATAATCACTGTCCTCTATACTGCATGGAGGTTGGGGGTTGTGAATAACTTTTGGTTTTAACTATATTTCCATAAAATTGCAAATGCAAGAAATGGTGAATAAGTTCAACATTAAAAATACATTATATACCATTGAAAAATAATTTATATTGTCATTTGTGTAAATTCACCCACCAACAATTAGGTGCTGAAGGAAAAACAAGAGGCCCATGGGCCACAATACACCTGAGTAACTTTGGCCTTGCTGTTTTTCACCTGATTTCCCCGCTTGTAGTACTTATTGTGGCCCCACCCTACCCCTGGGGGTCATGATTTGAACAATTTAGAATCTACACTACCCCAGGATGGTTCCACTTAAGTTTCAGCTTTTCTGGCCCAGTGGTTCTTGAGAAGATTTTTAAAGATTTTTTCTACATATTTCAATGAAAAACTTGGATTCCCTATTGTGGCCCCACCCTACCCCTGGGGTCATGATTTAAACAATTTAGAATCTACACTACTCCAGGATGGTTCCACATAAGTTTCAGCTTTTCTGGCCCAGTGGTTCTTGAGAAGAAGATTTTCAAAGATTGTTCCTATATAATTCAATGTGAAAATTGGATTCCCTGTTGTGGCCCCGCCCTACTCCCAGGGGTCATGTTTCAAACAATTTAGAATCTACACTACCCCAGGATGCTTCCACATAAGTTTCAGCTTTTCTGGCCCAGTGGTTTTTGAGAAGAAGATTTTTAAAGATTTTTTACTAAATATTTCAATGTAAGACTTGGATTCCCTATTGTGGCCCTGCCCTACCCCCAGGGGTCTTGATTTAATCAATTTAGAATCTACACTACCCCAGCATGCTTCCATTTAAGTTTCAGCTTTTCTGGCCTAGTGGTTCTTGGTTCTTGAGAAGAAGATTTCTAAAGATTTTTTACTAAATATTTCAATGTAAGACTTGGATTCCCTATTGTGGCCCTGCCCTACCCCCAGGGGTCATGATTTGAACAATTTAAAATCTACACTACCCAAGGATGCTTCTACATAAGTTTCAGCTTTTCTGGCAGTGGTTCTTGAGAAGAAGATTTTTTAATGACCCCACCCTATTTTTCTCTTTTCTTGATTATCTCCCCTTGGAAGGGTGCTTGGCCCTTCATTTTAATAATAGAGAGGTTAAGCATTTGACCGTGTGCATCTACGTGTAAACCTAGAAGTGTTTTTACAAGTACGTGTAACTAACATCGTGTTCTGTTAAACAAACTGTACGTGTAGCAGTACGTGTAAAACATCATTTCAACAAGTCACTTTACAATCCATTTTTATCAATTAATTCTATGACTTTGATTAATAAAGATACATAGATGTACGTAATAAACTCTCAAAATCACATCAAACACCGCCTGAAAAATATATATTCTATAATATGAGATTAAGAAGTTACACGTTCTTTACTACGAGTACATATGAATCTACACGTTGTGTACAACTTGTAGAATTACGCGCTATGCAAAACTGTGCATGGATGCTTTGTAGCAAGTTTGGTTAAAATTGGCCCAGTGGTTCTTGAGAAGAAGTTGAAAATGTGAAAATGTGATGGATGACGGACAATGAGTGATCAGAAAAGCTCCCTTGAGCTTTCAGCTCAGGTGAGCTAAAAATAAGCGAAATTATACACCTGCAAATTTAAACTCCATTACAGTACATTACATTTAATAAAGCATAACATATCATGTGGTTTTCTTTCCATCCAGGGGTTACTGACTACTTACAAATCTTTCCCTTGTCCATTACTGTTAATTCCAAAAGTAAATTTATCTCCCAAGCTCCTGGCCATTTCCTCAAAAGTCTGTACACCTAGAAAATCACAAAAAACACATTTAAAACAATAAATGCTGCCAAAAAAATTACATCAAATTAAAAATACAAATTTCCAATTTCATCAACAAACCAAGTAAGAAACCTTTTTTCTGATCAGCAAAGAGGGCTACTACAGACACACTCCCTGTGATGTTGGATCCATCTGGAAGGACCCCATTGAAGAATTTCTCAATTTCTTCTTTATCAGCTAGAGAAACAGGTTTCTCTTGTTTCAAGCTGTTAAAAATCACCCATAAGCAGTTTTCATGTACAACTGTATAAAGATTCAGATAATTAACAAATTATTAAAAAAAAAACAAAAAAAAACTGTCAATTAAAAAAAAAATTGAATTTAAAAATAATCTGAAGCTACCAATACTTACAATTTATAAGCATTCACAACATCTTCAATGCTCAGCATGCTGTCATAGTCTTTGAGGAATTTCCCTTGTCTGTAGATTTTCAGTATTGGGTAATGAGTTATGTTTTCTTTAGCACATACATCTGTCCAGTCATGACAGTTGACAAAAGTAAATGGTCTATCTGTTTGATTCTCAAATTTTCTCGCAGCTTCTCCATATGCTCGCAAAAATGCCAAACTTCTGTGATCAACTGTCAGAAAGTAAAATCAGCTTGTAATAATCAATAAAATAAAATATATTTACCAAATCCTGCCTAATTTTGTATTTTTAATATTTCCCTTAATGTTGCCCCACCTACATGTAAAATGTGATCTAGCTGTCTACTCTCTTTACCAAGGAACTTTATCGAGTATTCTCTTTACAATTTTATTCTCCATATTCTACCACTTTCACAATGGTATATTTGCACCAATTTAATTTTATTACAAATTTTTAAACCTTCTAGATTGTCAAAGCGAAACCATGAGTCAAACAAATCAACAATTCAAACAAACTTTCTAATGGTGTGTTCATTTTGAGATGTTTCTGTTCCAACAGAAGATTGAATGCACTTACATGGCAGAAAAAAGAGAGTGAAGACAATGTCCCTCTCCTTGATGGTGGTAGAAAATGTTTTGTCAGTTAGTCTTTCTGCCAGCTCTAAGTCTATCTGAATTCTCCTGGCTCTTTGTATTGCCTCTGCTACTTGGTCGTCTTCAGTCTCAACTAAAAAACATGAGAATCAGCTTTTAAAAAATATGTTTGTCAGAGTATAAAAATATCTTCAAACAATATAAAATTAAAATGAAAATATGCTAATTACAGGGATCAACGGAAGAAATCTCTTAAAAGTTAGTACTGGCAAATTGTCAACTAATTCAGAGCTTTTAGGGGGCCTGCAAACATCGCAATTTTTTATCTACATACTTTCCTCACTGTATCTGTCCTTTTCCTCCACCTCCCCCTCAGGATACGTTTGACCCTCCATGTCCCTCCCCGTCACATCACTAACACCCTGTCTATCCTGCTCCTTTGGTCTGACCTCATATTCATGTAGTCTACTGGCAAAAAACTCAAATGCACTATCTAGTGACCAGGCCTCGGTCATGTGAACCAGATTTTTCTGAAATAGAACACGTTTGATGTTATCTGTTCTCCGTTTTTGAGAAAATGAATTCTTTCTATGTAAAATTGTTATACTCTTCATACATTCATAGACTCTGAACTCCAATGATTTTATGTGAAGCCTACAAAAATGTGAATACCTGAGGGTTTGTGAGGAGGTAACACAGGTACAGTGTAACCGTCTAATCTGACATCCACTGGGAGACAAATTTTGTGTTGGAATAGACAGGGTGTTAGATTACACAGTGTAAAGAACATAGAAAAAAGTAAATTGAGATTTATGCAAGGGTAGGAATTCACAGTGAAACAGATTGCACAGATGTCAGCTTTAACAGTTTTCACTGTACTTTTATTCTCTCATATATTGTTGTTCTACCTATACTGTTAAAAGCACAGGCAATTACATGTAACATAATTGATGTGATTGAACTAGAAAAAATTGAGATGGTGGCATTGTCTACCTTGTGAGTTTTATAGGTACCAAGGAAGTTATTCGTTTAAGATAAAAAATAATTAAAGTATCTCAAAAGTCTGTTTTTTAAAAGGAAAAATTAATAGGAAATTTTTTCACCTCCGATTTTAATTGCACAGCAACTTCTGGTGTACTTGGTGGAAAAGCATCTAATCCAACAACCTCAGGAAGAGTGGTCTCCCTTAAATGACAAAAATTGAGTTAACAAAAATTTACCAAAATCTAAATTGTGATTACTAAACTGTAATGCAGCATCTCAAAATAGTTTAAAGAAGGAATTACCTTCAAAATCATTAATAAGAACTGTCTACAAATACATTCAAACACAAAGTACCGTGGTAAAATCTGCTAATCAGGAATTCCTTATTATAATCAGTTTTAGTTCCTTTTGAGAAGGTACAATGTATCCTAATTTGGAGTAAGGAATTCATTGGAACACCAAATTTTAGTTCTTATAAGCAAGAGTCCATTTATCTTTAATACACTGGGTATTAGGAATTCCTTGGGATACCTACATTTAGTTCCTTAAAAGAAAATAATTCTTATTAGAAACAAGGAGTTCCTTGAAACACAAAGTTTTAGTTTCTTATGAGCAAAAAATCCATATAATCCTCATTAGGGATAAGGAATTCCTTAAGATAATCAGATTTTGTTATTTAAGGAAGGTTAAATGCATATTAAGAATAAGGAATCTACCAGCTTTTATTCCTTTTGAATGAGGTTTTATCATATCTGTATTATGAAGTTTGTTGATGTAGTTCGATTAAAATATCTAGATTTTTTATATATTATGGTAAGTGTATCTTCCCTAAAAAATTGTTTATTTATACTCTGCATCATTACGAAGAGCTTCGTTCAAATGAAATAAAGAACATATAATGATTTTAAAAAATCACTCTGATTAGATTTGGCTATAAAGAAAGAAATTCTCAAAAAAAAAAAGAAATAATAACAATGGAAGAGAATTTTTCACTTCTATATAAATAAGAATTCTTTACAACCAAGTTTTTTGAAAATTCAATTTTTCCTTCAAATTTTGCGTAGCAAAATGGCAGGCGTTATCAACTTATTTTTAAAGGAGAGAATTCTTTAAAACAGAGATCCTCATAAACTTTGTTATACTGAATATCACTGCCGAGGGACGTTTTAAAAAGGATAGATTAAAGGACACCTAGAATTCATTACTTTGTGCCAACTTGCTACACTTACACGTTAATGGTAATGAAGGCAGCTGTTCCATGAAACTGATTCCCAATCAAGCGGATCAGCTCATCAACCGTATCCTTGGTAGATTCCCGGTAGAACAGGTACACCAAATGGAGACCCAGGTCAGGGGTGTATGGATGAGTGGTGCCATCACCAGGGATGTCAAACTGAAATTTACACACTCAGGCTATGCTACATGTATCTATTTTTTCTTCAAATTTTATTCAAATGATAAATTTGTCTTTAATTTAATGAGATCAGTAAAACTTTTTTATGAAATCCACGCCTGTAAGATTTACTTTTCAAATATATGGTTGACTGGATGATTAAGTTTATATGGTCAAATGAAAGAGCCATGCCCATTAAAAAAAAATCTTGCAAGTTTAAATAAGATTTTCAGTAACATGAAAAGATTATTTGTTGGAACATTCAGAAGAGGTATTTGACCAACATTTGGTGGTGTGTCAAGTCTTCTCATAAAACTGGCAAGGGAAGACAAATCCATCTTATCATCATAAAACTTGATAAAGCAGTCATCTTCTTTGTTGGTAACCTGACTACACATCAAGAACCAAACTCTTGCATCATCTAATGTTTCTGGGGAGGGTCTGAAAGGAAACAAAATATAATTATTTTTCTTAACAAAACACTTAAAATCTCATGTTTCAATTAACAGTTTTAATAATTATTACCAATAAAGAAACATTTGCTTCAATAGAATTAAGTAACAGAATCTGTCTATAAATGCAAATGAATTAAAATTTGACAAAATTATACTTGTATAATAACTAAGGATACATGTATCAGATTCTCTTGGATAGCCTAGTCCACAGGAGTCTGAAGTTTTTTATCCAAATAAAAAAATAATACCTGAAATAAAATTTCCACCTTCTACTAAAAAACACATCTAGTATTTTTTTCTGGGATTTTTTTTAACAATACAAAGAGCCATAGCTGCCTTGCCGACGACACGGCTGACTCGAGAATTTAAAAGGAAATCACTCGTTTCTATTTATTGACATTCCTGTTCAATTCAAAAAAAAAAATTTAAAAAAGCACATGAATGGAAAATACTAGTCTCGATCTCAGAATCATGAGATTTTCAGTCCAGCGATTATACCAATGCACCACAAAGTCATTGATGTCCAAATGATAAATTTTAGCCAGAGGCCTGTTCAACAGAGCGAACGTCCGCGAGCGCTCGCTAAATTTCCTTATCCCTCCAACAGAAATGTTCGCGAGCGCTCGCGGATGTTCGCTCTGTTGAACAGGCCTCAGATTAGTAAATTTTTCGAAATATGATAAAGAAAATTGAAAATATATTTTTATCATTTTCAATATTAAGACCATCTTTAACCCAAAATCTAAATGTAATAAGGTGCAGTCATACCCCCAAAAAATTATTCAGAAGTTGTTTTTCTGGTTAAGGGTGGTCTTTGGCAACAGTTTGTCATAGTTTAGGTAGCTACCTTAATATTTACTATATAATCCATACAAACTGAATAATTTCCATATTAATTGTATAAGGGAACTATTAATATTTAAATACTACTATGGTGTAATTTGAGTTCACTAATGTATAAACTAAGATTGTATAACAAAATATTGGCTAAAAAATGTATTTGAGAAATCACTACTACAGTAGGCGAAAATGCCTATCAAATGCGCTATGGCTCTTTCAGGCCCCTGTGCCTAGTCCAATAATCCAGGGCTTTAGTTGAACGATAGTCGACTACTCATCAAAATTCTTTTTCTCAAGTCAAACTCCTAGTATTGAACTCCTTAAAGATATACAAACTTCAGAATTACACATAAGACTTACACAAGTCCTGTCACTGCTTTTGTGGCTGTACTTATAGCAAACTGAAATTTGTGATGGAATGCATAGGCCACTTCCATGAAAATTCTATGTTCTGAAAATAGATATTTAGTCAAATATGGGGTAGCTTACAAACAGTTCAACCAGAAATATTTACATCAGTTTTCAAATAGGCTTTTAAAAAATGATTTCTAACCATATGTTCCAATGGCTTTCTGGAATGAGAAGACAATATCACGTGTTCCTTTGTGTTTGTTTATAAAGTTCTCCCTCTCTTCTTGGGATTGTAGTATTGGAACTTCTCGAAGTAGAGCAAGTCTTTTAAAATTAAAAACATTTTAATTCAATTAAATATAAGCTACTATCAGGAAAGACTATTATATTAGATGTTTTCCACTATTTGGTTCTAGGTCAGGTCTTTTTAAAATTTTCCCACTTTAGACATACAGTCAAACCTGCCATAGCCACCAATTGATCAAGAGACTTTCTATCATATATTTTGTGACCATTAAATTTCCTTCAAGAACTTTCCATTCATTATAATTTTACATGCATTCAGTAACTCCCTTCTTAATGCATCATGCATTTTGACTGTCACTTTCCCTTCTACAGTGGTTTAAGCCCCAAAAATCAGCAACTTCTAGCTCTACTTTTCACAAACAAATCTAATAAAATGTGCATTAGTTAATAACCCGCCCGAAATATTTGTACAAAAGTGTAATCAGAGTGTTATGAAGTATATTTTAGCTAACAATAAGCTAGAAAATACTTCAAAACTAATGTGTAGAACAATTGGAAAACAAGTATAAGTTGTTAAACATGTACATGTACTTACAACACTGCTTAAAAAATATGACTCCCTTAATTAAGAGGCTACCTGCCATATGTGAACTTTTTGACATTTCCCTTGATAGGTCACTTAATACAGGTTTGACTGTACAGGTACTTGCAATTGACTAAACAGAGATTCCTCAGTGCAGGTTCAGATCTGAATTATGTAGTATGTTATGAAGTATGTATAATCATTATTTGAATGAGGAGTTATGATAATTAATAGACTACTCAGAGTTTTACTTTGATACTTTATCATAAATGTAAAAGTCACATGTCTGGTAAAATGATTTGTAAAGGACTGACATTATATGGGAACTTTTTGCATAGAGTTTCCACAAAAAAATCTGTTCTGACATTAATCTTTGATTTTGTTCCATCACTGCATACCCTTTACTGAAAGACCCTTTTAGGGTAAGCATAATCCAGACTATGCTAAGGGGAGATAAAATACTGTAAATGTACCTATTTTAGTGCTAGTCATATTTCAGTTCCCCTTACATTGCTTCATGTCTACTTATTAATGTACATGCTAATACATGATTTTAACTTATAACTGACAGTCATAAGACTCAAATGCACTATTTTATGATTACACTAACCAGTTTAAGAAGAAGATTGTGCTAAATTTTTAGTGCAGTTATTAATGTAGGTTTACAGTATATTGCAGACAAGTATTAGATGGACAAAAGGAGTGACAAATGGACATACTTGTCACTATATTGGGCACCTGCAGATTGATGCCTTAATGAATAGAGGTACTCAAAACTATTTACATTCAGAATCTATTAATGTAAACATGGTAAAAATTTAATCTGGTTAGCATCTGAATAGATAATAGAAGTTCAAACCTACTGTAATATATTTGACATCATTGAATTAACATCAAACATGGTTTCAATTTCCAGGGCCAACAGTTCGTTTCCATTACTATATGTGTAAACAGATGCTTCTGTCCCACCTTCTGTACATCTGTCAACATCAAAGTTTGCTGGATCTTTACAATTTACCTAGGAAAGAAAAATCAAAAGCCTGAAAGGCTTCAATGACGTCGAAGAAGAAAAACAATTTCAAAAGATCATTTTGAATTTGAAGATAGCAATAAGTCAAGTGAGTGACTCAGGAGAAATAATAAAAAAAAATAGTTTTAAACAAAATATCACAATTACAGTCTGGGGCCTTATGTCATGGTCCGAATGGAGCAGGGTTCGAATTGACCAGACACCGTCGAACATGTTTCATGCTAAATTCTTTTCAGTCAGTTGGAGAACTATGAAGGATTTCATAAATTTATATAATATTTTTTCTAATTGCCAATGTCAAAGCGTTGTATTAGTGATTGCATCTAAACTACAACCAAGACTGTTCTGTTACAATTACGATCGAGTTACGATCGGGTGTGGTATACGGTATACTGGGAAATGGAGGAAATAGAGAAATACAGTAATACTGGTCAACATCATCGGTTTTTAGGATAAAGTTGGTCAGAAGATTGTAAAAGTAAAGCTAAGATTTACAAATTCAATCTTTTCAGTCTTATAGTATTCGTGTTTATGTAATTTTGTAAATTATTTTACCGCCTGTTGGGTTGTTTGTGTTCCACGGTTATCGTTCCAAAATGTTATTCATGTCATTCGACGCACCTTTCTGTAGAAATTCATCCGCAACAACCATCACGTTTTTATTGTGTGAAAATAAAACATAATATCGTTGTTTTGTAAAAGAATTAATTGTAGATACAATTGATGCAATTTCATTTTCAAGCTATAATTATTCATTGTGAGCGTTTTAAAAGAAATTGGTTTATAGCTATTGCTATTTTCTATTGCGGATGCATCCACTGACACATTCGGTCGCGTACATCCCTTGGCGATTTCACTTGGCCGATCGCTAGATGACGTTCGAGCTCCAAGAGCTCGACGTCATAAAAATCTGTATGTCTCATATCATTGGTATGAATTGTAGAATGTAAACATGCAAAAGATATAAAGAAGTCTCAATTTATTCCTTTGAAATAAAGAAGCTTGAGACATTTATTATGTGCTGGTCTCCATAAAAAGTATAAATTCATATACAGTTGAACTTCGGTATCTCGAACACTGATATCTTGAGTTCCCTGGATATGTTGAAGTGATTTGGAAGTCCCGACCCCTTATTCTTTAAGTACTTCCCCTGGATGTCTTGAATCCTTGGATATCTCAAAGTTTTTTCTTGGTCCATCAAGTTCAAGATAACAAGGTCTGACTGTACTAGTTCACTCTGTATCTCTCTATACAAAGAAGTCTTTGATACATGACATATCTGATATAAAGACATCTTTGATACACATGTAAATGTTTCTGATCCTAGAAACCCCAGTACGTCTCCAGCAATAGGTGGTAACAGTTGTCAAGTGTAAGTGGTGTCCATGCAGGCAATGAAAACCACAGCCAAAAAAAAGGGGGAGATGGAAGACACAGTTAGTTTTCTGTTCATTTTCCCATCAAATAATGTACACAAAATTTATAAACATTTATTTCAGTTAAATGGCACTTCACTGGATTCTGGCAAATCAAAATCTTAATTGGGCAAACAGGTTTTGGTGTCTATTTTTATGCCCAGTGGGAAGTAGGAATAAAAGTTAATGTCTATTCCAAGTATCTGATTAGAGGAAGCCTATGATGTAGGTCTCTGATGTGAAGAACTCCTGGACATTGTACAGTAATATGTATTTGAATTTTTTAAGTGGCACAGTGTGAAACTGACCAAAAGTATCCTTCATAGCTTATACATGTACATGTATATTGTATTGGAGACAGGTAAAGATGTTGGCAAGACCAGGACTTGGACACTGGAATTCCTGCTAACCATGCAGGTGCTCTAGCATTGAACTACTGGGCATTTAACATTTAACCCTTGTACATGTAAACGGGTTAAAGAAACAACTTACAATATTGCAATTACATACTATGAGCTTAAATCAAGCTTAATATCAGATGGAATTCAGTTAACATTCATAACATTGATTTTAAGTGTGCATCAGGTGCGCCTTACAATGTATGACATGTGCTGTTGATACCACTATTGAGATATCCAAGCATTATTGATTATACGCTTTATGAAGAGTGTTTGGTTGTAATAATTTTAAAGCATGTCTGGATGCTAGAATGCCATTGTTTTACTGTTTTACAATGCTCTTTGTGCTTTAGGTAATTGTAATTCCAAAGTTTTAACAAAAAAAATGAAAAATTTCTTGAATTTATAATCATGTATAAAATACACCAGTATTTTAGAATCCATATCACAATACCTATTACATAATAAAAAAATCAAGAAACACTGGTAGACTGATAAAATTGTGCATCCCTAACTCAAACCAAGATTTCTCGCTAGCTCTGCTGCTACTCTATCACTGAACTACATGTACTTGGCTGATGTACCAATTCCTGTTTACACTCTTCCCCTCCTTTTTCTTGAGATTTTCTAACTGGAAACCTCATTGAGGCTCTTCTAAATCACCCAAGGGTTTGATGTTGGGCACCAAATATAACAGGTGTAACAGGTGGGGAAAAGTGTTGGTAAGACTAGGACTCAAACCCAAGACCACTTACCACTGAGCTGCTTTACCCTATCCTTACACATGGTAGGTGTTCATGATAAAATAAGTTATTAGATAAATGTTTAAGATATATAAGGAATTTTAACTTGTGTCTTTAATATGAAAATCTACCTAATATAATATTCCATGTCTTAAAATTGTCTTCTTCCTGGTTCTTAGTACTTCATGTTTTCTCAAGTACTTTTTTGATGCTGGAAATAATCAAATATACTTTATAGTAATTTAATAGATTATAATTTATGAATTAGATTTACATCCATAACAGGAATTCAAAGGCACACCAAGGTATGTAAATTCTGGTAGACAGCTGAACTGAAGACAAAGACCCAGGAAGTTCATCTCTTTACATGGTTACTCAGGAATTGACTGTGTAAAAGCTACTGTTATTAATACTACTTTATATAGTTAATAAATGTCCACTTTCCTCAATTTACTCTCTCACAATATTTAAGTGAGCTTTAGAAACAACCAATCACATTCTTACTGACAGAAGTACCATTATAATTAAATTTTTTTTTGTTTGTCTTCCCAGAATTAACTTGACAAATTTCCTGATTTCACTCTCTGTAGAAAATATGAACAACAGCTGAACTTAGCATGATCTTGAATTTCATAGATATATCAAAGACTCAAAGTGAGTTTGAATTCCAAACCACTTTTTCTTTGAATTTCTTTCTTTCTTATTTATTTTTATTCATTAATTTAAATTTTTTTTCTTTAAGTATTTTTCAACCTCAATATCTTGACCCTTGGATATCTAAATTTTTTTTCCCTTAGCACCATTGAGTTTGAGTTAATGAGGTTTACTGTATTTTCAAAGAATGAAATTATGAGTAATAAATCAATATGATGGTAAATTCAAGTTAATGATTTACTACATAGCTTTGATATATCAGCACAATAATTGTAAGTCAAAGAGTTTACCTTTATTTTTACACTGTAACTATTACTTCATGATGTAAGCTCAAGTAACAATTAAAGCTTGGTGAGAAAGTATTTCTTATTACATCTTACCACTCCTAGCTTTAAGTCATACAGTCCTAAATATTCAGCAGATTTATCATATTCACGATAGAAACTTCTGTGTCTGGGATTATCTGAAATAAATAAAAAAAAGATGTAAATATTTTTGTATATCATTTACAAATGTATATCTCTATTTATTCTATTTATTGTTGTTGCCATAGTTTCAAGTCCAAGTGGTACTTTTCTCTTCCTTTGTTATAAGTACAAACCAAAAGAGCTACAAGCTTGTCAGAGACTTCTGCTTTTAGTCTTAAAAAAAAACAAAACAAAACAAAAACAAAAGCAGGTCTTCTTATGAGCCTTTGATGTTGTTAAGGTCAAATATACATGATCTATGCACTAGTATACATTCATTGACAGGGTTCGAAGGCAACATGTATTTTGTTCAGAGAATTAATGTTTTTGCCTGAAAACATTATGCCAAAGGCAAACAGTTTGGTTCGAGGGGTCAACAAAATGCATTTTGCCTGAGAACACAATCAATAATTTTTTTGTTATGCCTTTTACATTTTTTTTGTCGTATCTTGCGCTGGCTTGGATCATGTTTGTGATAATTGATAAGATATAGCTGATCCTGCCTACAGTGTGACGTAAAAATCTTCATAGCAGTCCAATGTCTCAATATCTCATGGACAGGTCCAAATATCTCACTGAGCAGTCAAACATTGATTTTTTTGTAGACCATTTAGAAAAACATTGGAAATGTTAAACTTTTTTAGCATAAATTTATGTAGGAAACTACTTTTAAAGGTATAACAATACAAGTTATTAATCTTTTGACTGTCCATTTTCTTTCATTTTTCAATGTACTGCATTATAAGTACATGTATGTCATATCATTAATTTTCAAGCAATAGTAGCAAGGTGTTGCTATCATCATTCAATCATACTTTGAAAAGTATAAATGCTGGGAAGCTCTCTTTGTACATCTATGGCTAACAGATCAAAAGATCAAATAATCAATGTATCAGTACCTGTACCTATATGCTTCCTCAACATATGTTTATTACTGTAACAACTTGTAACAACAAATGTCACTGTATGTATTATTTACCTTACTACAGTCAGACCTTGTCATCTGGAACCCAATGGGACCAAGAATAAAACTTTGATATATCTGAATGCAAGATATCAGGGTTAAAATATATGAACAATAAGTGGTTGAGACTTTTAATTCACTTTAACATATCCATGGTATTTGAGATGGCAGAGTTTGAGATAACAAAGTTTAACTTCATAGAGATTGAAGTCTAAATTTTTTTGAAATAAAGATTTATTCAAAACCTAGCAAAACTAATTTTGTAAAATATTTTTTGCAAAATAGTCACATTGGAATGTATTTTTTAAAAAGCTCATCACTCATTCAGGAAGTATGCATCCACACTTTAAAACTCTCAAACAAGAGGCCCAAGGACCACAATGCTCAAATGAGTCACTTTGGCCCAACTGTTCTTCAGAAGATTGTTTTCAAAAGATTACTTTCCTTCTATATTTCCATGAAAAATTTTGACCCAATACTGTGGCCCTACCTCAGCCCCAAGGGGGTCACATAGGAAAAGTTACTTCCTTAGTCAATTAGTCCTTAAAATTTATGACTCTCCTTATCATTTTCTGAGGGATTCATGTTTCTTAGGGGTATTGTCCAAGGTCAGTTTTTGATTACTTTACTATATAGTACAAAGGGGGAGTTTCAATAAGGCTGTTTTTCGGCCCCTCAAGAAATATAATGAAATTGTGATATGTTGTAGATTAAAGTGTTATCTTCCTAAAAATATGAAAAAAAATTATACTGCACATTATCTGGTCACGTGATAATTAAAAATTTAAGTATACCCTCTTCCCTGTATTGTTGGAGGGATCATATTTAAAGGGGGTAATGGAGTTTATTTATCGTCAAAATCATAAATGAAATATTACAAATGTGAATAAAGACATCAAATAACCAATTTCAATATTTTTCTTTACAGAAAATTAATGATATTTATTTTATTTGAATGCGTTTTAAGGTGCAAGATTTTTCTTGTGTTTTAATTGTAACTTATCTTTCAAAGAGGATGAATGTAACATATAAAACGTATATGAATAATAAAGACAGGAATTTTCAAAAAATGAATTAATCGACAGTTTATACTTAGACTTAATAACCAATATATAACATTTTCCCGTACGTAGAAAAGCAAATGTAAAGATATATAGACAAGAGATAGATAAAATTAAACTGTCATTGACAGGTGTTTGACACTGTTTGCAACACATTTTTTATCAACTAAAGTTATTGTACTAAATATATAGTATTAATAAAATGTACTGTAATATCTTTAAATTGAATTTTAAAAAAAGTCTTGAAGTTAACAGATTTCAGAATTCGGTACGATTAAAAAATGCAGCTATTTATATTTTTAAAGTATATTTAAAAGAATCATACTGCAATGTACATTGTATTTAATAATACCAAGCGTATTACTACCAGTCAAATATTTTATCAAGATAGTAATTATTAGTCCCATACCGGTGAAGCCGGAGGGGTCTATAGGTTTCCTTGTCGTCTGTCCGACTGTTTGTCCGTCCGTCTAGCTGTCTATTTGTCAGTCTGTTCCACTTGGTTTTTCGCACTTTTCTCTAAACGCTTGCAGATATTGAGCTGGTTTTGGTATTTATAGTGTATCCTGAAGAGAAACAGAATTTGAAATTCAAGTTTGAATTTCGTTAAATTCTGCTTCATTGATTTATGACGGAATATTACAAATTCAAAAAAGGGGGGGGGGTCGGCGTTTTTTTTTGTTTGTTTTGTTTGTTTTGTTTTTCTAAAAAAAAAAATTGCATGTATTGAGCTGATTTTTGTTATGGTATATGTGTTAAACTTGAGTTATAGATCAAGTTTGCATTTTCTTCCGCTTCAATGACTTTTCAAATAGGGCATTTTCAATTTTTAATGGAAACCAGGTTATACTTGCTGTGCCGATAGTGGACTATTATTGCTAATGCAGTGCTTACAGAATGCGTGAATAAATAGCCAAATGATAAAAAATAAAACTAAAATACATTGAGTGCATGTCTTCTATTCATTCTTGAACTTAAACTATTCATTTTTAAACTTAAAAGTATTTACGCATATAAAGAGGTGCATTATGTTTTCAGCAAAAATGAGACAATCCAGGCAAGCGAGGACCTACATGTAATTCCTCGCGCTTCCCAACCTCCTTTTGATACGTATGTTGTTTCATCAACTCTACTCACTATTTTATTTGCAAGACCATAGTCGCAATTTAAAATACATTTGTAAATACCAAATGTATGTGTTAAATCATATCCTGCAGAAACGTACAAATCAACATCCAGTCTTAAAAGTAATCTACGTTCCCTACATGTAGACCATACGAAAATATATGCGAACCTTCTCTAACAGATTGAAGCGATTCTATTCAAAGGAATGGCTATAACCATATCCATGATAAAGAACGTTAATGAATGGACTGATTCTTAAACTTCTCTTTAGTTCAGTCAGTCATTGAAAAATGTAAGATCCGGCATCTGTTACATTTCTGGTAATGTGTAACCCTAAATGCATCATCGGTGCATATTTCTTCAAGATAGGGATTATAGTTACATGAAAATGAGACATGCTCCAAAATATATACCCTGAGCATTCATCAAGAAAATGTAAGTCAGATCTAGCATCTGAAGCAAGTCTGACAGTGTGCATCCGAAGATGCATCATGAAGCACGTCCTCTCAACAAGTGCTTATAGCTGCACTGTTCCATAAACATTAACCTAGCTGCTTTAAAAACATTAACCTGGACATTCTTTTAACTGAAAATGCAGCATCTGAAACCCGACAGATGACATGAAAAACACACTATATCAGGCGACTCTGATGATTTGAAAAAATTGATTAAAAACTTTTAATAACCTATTCGCCTATAACGATGGTATTATAAAAGCTCTCCCAACTTCGTGTAGGTGAGCTAAATATATGATGTTAACGTTATACGAAATAAGTATGGAAATAACGATAGGATACGATTATGTTTTCTTATGTCAATATTTTCGAGAGTTCTCTTTGGTTTAGAAAAAATATGCTACTTTTGGCTTTGTATTTTAACACGGCGTCAGATCAAGTAACCAGGAGCTTCTAATTTTAGATATGCAAATTTTAGACAATTTTCAATTTTTGGATATGAAGTGCACACGCGACACTTATCATATTTTAAGATATTAGTGTGCAGAGTATATCTATGTACTGAACAAAACTAGGTGAGTGTCCCTCATGCACTTCATATTCTAACCATCGATTTATAAATGCCACCCTCTTATATTTTCCCATTAGCCTAATGTTAAAGCATTTGAGGGTACATCTAAGAATGTGCCAACTACGGCGTGAATTCATCTCATATAAACTCTTGAAATATAAATAACAACCAGAAGTCTCTGATGAGACTGTAGCTCTACTGGTCTGTTTGTATAACAAAAGAAAAGTAGCACTTGGATTTGAAAAATTGCAACATGCAACAATAAATAGAATTATGTATCTTAATGTAATCTACTTTTGTGACAAGTTATATTGAAATCAAATGAAAACTAGGAGTAGTAGCGTTTTGAAAGTATTTCACGGAAATTTCTATTTTTAGTACCGGTAACCATGACAACACCATTCACCCAAATAAAAAAAACAGAAATACATATTATGTATCGTAGTGTATTCTAACTGTGTGCCAAATTAGATTGAAATCAGACCAAAATTGTAGGAGGAGTAACGTTTTAAAGGAATTTCACAGAAATTTCTATTTTAAGTAACCATGGCAACACTGTTCATCGAATTCAAAAACCAATGCAATAAATTATGTATCTTAGTATAGTCTTCTTGTATGCCTAATTATATTAGAAGCAGACTAAAACTGTAGCAGGAGTAGTGTTTTAAAGGAATTTCACAGAAATTTCTATTTTTAGTAACCATGGCAACACCGTCCATTGAATTCAAAAACCGATGCAATAAATTATGCATCTTTAAGTTAGTGTAGTGTACTTGTGTGCCAAGTTATATTGAAAACGGACCAAAACTGTAGGAGGAGT